GGTACCAGGCCTTTTATTTGGTAATGGAATTCCCATATTTGGGATCCTACTACCATCAAGAAAGAAAGACGAGCCAGGAGTGGAGTGCATCCTTTGAATCCTGAGATCTCTGGGTATTGAACCAGGAGACAGAGAGCTAAGGCACCAGGAGAGCTGCAGAGGAGTGGCAGAGCAGAACCAGGAGCCAGAGTGGAGGGCTTCTCAGTCCACAGAACAAGTAAACATGAGTGACTTGGGTCAGAAGGCTCAATTATGGAGCAAGGTGCTTCTGGGCACTTAATTGGGGACTACCCCATAGTGCTAGAGCTGAGTGCCTTTGGTTTGAGACTTACAGTAGGGTTGAGTGCCCTTTGGGCATTTATCAGCAGCGCTGAAAGAGCTTTGTAACACTGCCTGACCAGTGTGGAGGGCAGGCCAAGGGGTCGGGGGCCAGAGAGAGGCTTGCTTGTGGGCAGGGCAGAGAACAGGATGTCCTGAACCACTAATTGTATCCCGAATATTTCTAATCCAAAATTGTAACCTGGTAACTTCCCTAATAAGCCCCATAACTGTGAATATGGTCTGTGAGTTCTGTGTAGTCTTGCTATGCATTATTGAACTCAGCAGAACAGAGTCCTGTGGCAGGGCAAGTTGGTGTCACAGTTGGTTAAGAAGGTTGGGAGGTGGAAGGATGAATGACACATGAATTAGCCTTGGGCTGATGGTGACTCTCCTCCTTCTCACGTTAGAGGAAGTGAGATGGCACCCCTGAGTCCCTTTTTTACAGCAAACTATGCGTAGTGGTTACGAATTGGGCTGCTAACCTCAGGGTCATCAGTTCAAAACTACCAGCTGTTCCGCGGGAGAAAGAGGAGGCTTTCTGCTCCTGTAAAGATTTACAGCCTCGGAAACCCTGTACAGGGTTGCTGTGAATCAGTTCTGATCCATAGCAACCCTGCCTGTACTGGGTTTCTGAAGACTAGCTGGTGAGCTTGAACTGCAGACCTTACAGTAAACTAGAACTTGGAAAAGCCCTGGTATGATACTGAAGGACCAGCACTGGCCTGCTAACTGCGAAGTTACCAGCTGCTCTTGGAAACTACACAGAGCTGCTATGAGTTGGAACCCACCTGATGGCACACAACTGTCCTATGAGTCTACAGATATTATTGAGCTATAATTCTTTATAGTTTTTTGGTCTTTATTTACTCTCTTGGTATTAAAAATCACTATGTAGATTAGTTAACAGAAGCTATTTAATATTTACTTATTAGCAGGGGGCAAGGTATAAAGGTGTAAATTATATATAACTATAGTTTTTTTTTTTCCGACTCCACAGCATTTAACAACAACAACATAGTTTTTTGTGTTTTTTTTTTTATCTTTGTGTAGAAGGTATTGGAGAGCTAAATGGCTATAAATTACAGTCTATCTACATCCATACAGGAAAAACTGATGAGAATGACTGTTGGAATTCAGCATACAACAATTAGGAAGTCAATTCGTAACGAATAAAGTTAGCTACATGTAGTGCCATGTATTTCTACTTTAAATGTTTCTCACTTAAAAAAAGGAAATGTTGTAAGTACCAGTAGAAACCTAATGTCTATGTACCTCCCCCCACCCCCTGGTTTATGTTAAGATAGTTTGCTTTGAAAGCAGGTAAATTTTATCAGTTTTATAGCTTTCCCTGAGTTGTGGGGAAATAAACTGTTTTTTTGCTGATTCTCAAGTATAATAGAATGGGGTATGTTCAGTCTGCTGTAGAAAGCACTGGGACCCTAGTAAAGCGCCATAAGAAGCCTTTCACCACTTGAACAGCTCATAAAGTTGGCATGAAAAATCTATGCAAAAATACCTGTGTGGAAATAATCCCTCACCCATCAGTCACTATTAATCAAAAACTTAAAAAAAAAATTATAGACTTTTCATATTTAGTAACATACTTTATCATCTAACATAACCAAGTCAAAGACAAACAATCAGGATCAAAGGTAAGGAACTGAAGACAGCTTCTGGATAAGGATGGTAAGAGTTGTTAAAAAACACAGGCTTTAAGTGATCTGGAGCAGAGGGCTGTGATGGGAGGGTGAGGAAGGGGTCTGCCTCAAGCCCTCTGGAGATGACCCGAAAGTGACAGGAGCTACTGGTAACAAATTTCTCTTTTCATTTGCTCAGGCCATTTGAGAAGAATAAAGCTCTTGCCAATGAAGCTGCAGCTGTGCTCACCCTCAGTTTAATCACTGTGTAAGGCTGAGGGTTAATTAGCTGCCATTCTTAGCGCTATTTGTTGTTCTAATAGAGATTTGCATAAATCTACGACTAGGGGTAACTGATACTTGATTTTTATTTGGAAGTATCAGTTGGGGGAGGGGGAGAAGCTCATCCATCCTGAGTGTTGACATTTGTGGGTATGCTGAGGGCATTTTATTTGACCTGGCCTGTGCGGTTGTCTGTCTCAAGAGTGGCGGACAAAGACTTGATGGTTGCTGATGGATGTAGCCCTCGCTAGCCCAGCCTGGGCCACGAGGCCGGCTGTGGTTTGAAGGCAGATGATCGGGGAAGGAAATACACAAGGCAAAGGTCAGAACCCGAATGATTCCTCAGTGTTAAACGGAAGAATGGGATAAGAATGAGAAAGCATTTTCATTTTTTTTTAAAGTTGGCTAAATATCATCATGCAATGCCACTGTTGAGTTGACAGATTCAATTCAGGAAAATCTTACTGATTCAAATCCTATCAACATTATTTTTATAATAACATGAAGAAAGATTAGATTGAAATTTAACTTAAACCTAGGGCAAAAACATTACAAACATAAAGCACAGACACCAACTAACAATGTGAAATAAATAAGTCCGTTAAACAAAAGAATGGATGTTTTGACTTAAGAGAAACAACTGTTCACGGCTCTAAAAAGTGTCAGCATACAAATAAACAACGTGCCAATTAAGAAATCTTTGAATGTGTATGGAAGTATGAACAGTTTGTTACCATGTATTTTATAATAACCTAGTCTTCTGTCAGACAGGCTGTCTCTGGTTGGTGAAACTTACGGGGTATGATTCTCTCTAGGCTTATTCTTACAACTGAACAGCATTATTTCAAAATATTTTTTTTTATAGGTGATTTGGGTTTAGCCAGGGGTGAAATTCTTTTACAGAATGCACCTGTAATTTTCTGAGTTATGGTAAAAGAAAACTGATACACTACACAGAAATCTTTCTGAATGGCTGGGAGACGGTTTTACTGGAAAGCGTCTATTCCTAGAAGCAGGGATAACTAACTTGTATAGAGACAGACTCACACATAGACTGATTCAGGGAAACAAGCTCCAGTTCAGCTTACTGGGAGGCAAAGCAGGAATCCGAGCATCACAGTGGTCAAGCACTAGGCTGTTAAATGTAAGGTTGGAAGTTTGAACCCAACAGTTGCTTTATAGGAGTCAGAAGAGGCAGCCTTGCTTCTGTGAAGATTTACAGTCTTAAAAACCCTATGAAGCAGTTTTCCTTTACCCTACAAGGTCATTGAGTCAGAACTGACTCGATGACAGTGGGAAGTAGGCAAAGCAGGCAGGCCTGGGCAACTGGATTAAGGACGGCTTCTCAGTACTGAGTTTTCTCTCTGTGCATGGGTTAACACCTTATTCTACATATAAGAGGTGAGGACTCATTATCGATCTAGTGTTCATAAGTGACTCATCTATAGTAAGGGCTCAAAAGTTTCTTGAATAAATTACTTACCTCTAAGGAAAAACTTCCTCTTAAAACAAACAAACACCTTCACCCCCTCAAATTCCAGCAAAATATAACAGTTCGGGGACCACTCCTTGGTCTGGGTCTCAAATAAGGTAAAAATGGGGTTGAAAGAACAAAGTATTTCTCATTCAAATTTAAGCTGCTGTTGTTGTTAATTACTGAATCTTACTTACTACCTGGGGTAAAGTTATGAATTAATTTTTGCAACATTTTACAAAAATCTTGTACAATTGTATCTTTTATTTTTGGTGTGACAAGCATTAATTTGTATCATATATATAACTTAAATAAATCACGATTTTATTAAATTCTGTATGTACATGTCTTCATTTTAGGAAGATTTTATTGTAACAAAATTTCAGAAATAGAAAAGATTATATAATTTCTTTATATTTTATAAACTCACTGGGAGCCCAATCCCATTGTTAGTTCTCTCTTTTGTCTAAAATTTTAGGTGTATAGAGAATTTATCCCTAGCCATAGAAGGTGGAATCTTATAAATGAAAAAGATGATTAATGATACACTCTAAGAATGTTCCCACTGAGAATATCAAACAAAACCCTATGGCTACCTTTAGATTTTCGTATTTTCTAAAATAAATCCAAATATGTCAAAACCCAGCAGTTTGTTTGTCTTTTTCATTTAAAGAATCTGGTGGAAAACACAATCCAACATCCAGAAGCACACAGGAAATAAGAATTTTCCGTTTTTAGCACTCCCACGCCACAAAAGCCTGACCATACACTCTATAGTCTTTCTGAGCAGTAGCACTTTCTTGAGCACTCTTGGGCATTTCCTAGTTCAAGACCATTCAGCTTTTTGTTCTAATAGCTTGTCAGGATGCACAGTTGTTAAGATGCCAGAGAGGTCATGTCTGTATGGTGCTGCCTGGTTGTTATCAGATTTTAATAGCCTACATTTCTCAAATTAACATCTTCTGGTAGGCACCTAATTAAAGATTAAGCCATTCAATTTGAATTTTTATGATTATTTGGCAGCAGAATTTAATGCATTCTTTAAATGCACTTTCTCATCTAAAATGATTTTTCATTAATTATGTCACACTATGCTTTTTCCTTCTTGGCAAACAATAGGTCTTAAAGAGACTAATGAGAATACCCAAGTTAAAAGGAAGCAGGTTACACACTATGGAAATTTAAAATTAATAGTAACGATAATAGTCGTCGCAACAAATGATTTACTAAAGCCTGACATTTAAGTCTTGAAAAGCTCCAATTCAACACTGGAGTTAGTCTCTTACCAGGGTTGCAATCTGTAAGAAGTGAGCAGATGGAGAGGAGAACTTTAGAAATGGTAAGGGCTGGACTCCAGTTGTCCTTTAAGATGTCCATACAGATTACTCCTTGGCTGTTAATATTACAGTGATAAATTCTTGTTCGGAAGGTAACCTAGAGGAAAATACAAAGGTGTTTATAAACACACCTACTATCACGCAAGCCAAAGATGATCATGGTTGAAACATACTTAAAATGTTTTTTTCTTAGGTACACAAGAAAAATCAATGAACAAAATAATTGTATTTAGAACTTATGCTGGGCAGAGAGAACAAAATCCCACCAGTAAAATGTGATTTTCTATTTTCAAGAAAGAATTCTGGGGAGCTGGATTTACACATGGTGGCAAACAGATTCTGATCTATGGAAAATTAAAGATTTGGGATTAAGAAAATTAAAGTTTCAAAGGAAACTTCTGTTGGATTACTATGGTTTTAAGGCTTTTATATATTAAAAACAAAAACACAACCCTAAAAAGCAAGAGAATACTAATTAAAAAGGCAATAAATATTCTCCTTTGTCACGGTTTAACACCAAATAGGGTATGCATATAAATAATATACCAAGAAAAATTCTACTAGTTATACTTTCCTCCTCACTTCTATATTCTGAATGTGATTATTAGTGCAGTCTACCATTTCACTATAAGGAGCTCTGGTAGCGTAGTGGTTACGAATTGGGCTGCTAACCTCAGGGTCAGCAGTTCGAAACTACCAGTTGTTCTGCAGGAGAAAGATGAGGCTTTCTGCTCCCGTAAAGATTTACAGTCTTGGAAACTCTGTACAGGGTTGCTATAAGTCGGAACCGACCCCATGGCACATAACCACCACTATGACCATTTCACTGTGATAGCTATATTACCACTCTACTTTGCTTGTGTTTTAATTGAAAAGGTTTTAATATTTTTAAAGAACTTTAGATGAAAAATTTTAGTGTAATCAGTTTGGTAACATTAACAACTATCTTATAAGACTCTTCTACAACTGATAAAATTGAATGTTATTCATTTTAAATTCCTATCAAATTTATAAATCCAAACAGAAAATTTTTGGTGTTCTAAAGACCAGATCTATACAGGGTCGCTATGGGTCGGAACCGACTCGATGGCACATAACAACAACAACAAAGACCAGATCTAAAGACCCAAAGTTCAAAATGGTTTGGGACCAAGAAATACACACATGGCAGATTTCTGTAGATGTTGCCACCCACCAGGGTATGCAATTACTACGTCAGGAGATTAAGTTATATGAAGTCAACTCTCAGAAAGCACAGAGCCAGCATCTATGGGTGGTGAGCAATCAGGCACTGTACCTGGGCTAGATTGTAACTTCTAAGAAGGACGGACTTTTTTTTAGCAACATGTCAGACCAGGTAATCTTGACAGGCCAGACCAGATTAACAACTCCTTCCACACACACTTCTCTCAAATGACTAACAACACTGAAGAAATTTGAACCAACATTAAAAAAAATGTATAGTTGAATTTGCAAGGGAGCGTACCCACAGGCCAGATCTGAAAGCCAAACACTACAGAAAGCACAGGAGCTGACAGTACAGCTGCCCAGGTTGGAGCCTAGAGCAGAGGGAATGAAGGATAATAGGCAGTCTCAGTGAAATGAAGGCTTGTGTTTTATTGCACTTATGGAGAGAAAAACCAAAGCCTTAGGGCTGTATGTGGTAATGGCTTGGAACTGTGACTCTTGCATAAATTAGGGTGCATGAACAGCTAGATTTTCAGTACATGGATGGGCTTGAAAAATTTTTCCTTTTGGGGGAAGATAGCAAGGAAGCTTACCAGAGAAAGTCTGATCTCTGGATGAAAGAAGAAAAAATGTCTTCCTGGAGAATTTGAAATCCTGGGCACATACTCCCATACTAGGCAAACACTAACAAAAAGAGAGCTCAATGACTATATTCCTATTGTAGCTGATGTTGTTAGGTGCCTTCAAGCCAGTACTGACTCATAGCAGCCCTATGCTTAACAGAACGAAACACTGCCCTATCCTGGTCCAACCTCACAATCGTTGCTACCCTTGAGCCCACTGATGCTGCCACTTTGCCAATCCATCTCGCTTCGCTGGGGGTCTTCCTCTTTTTCTGACCCTCCACCTTACCAAACATGAAAACCTTTTCCAGTGACTGGTCCCTCCTGACAATATGTCCAAAGTTTGAGAGACAAAGTTTGGCCACCTTGGCCTCCAAGGAGCACTTATTCCAACACAGATCTGTGTGTTCTTTCGGCAGCCCATGGCACTTTCAATATTCTCCTCCAACACCATAACTCAAAAGCATCAATTCTTCTACGGTCTTCCTTATTCACTGTCCAGCTTTCGCATACATATGAGGTTATTGAAAATACCATGGCTTGGGTCAGGCACTCCTTAGTCCTCAAGCTGACACCTTTGCTCTTCAACACTTTAAAAAGGTCTTATGCAGCAGATTTGCCTAATGCAGTACGCTGTTTGATTTCCTGACTGCTGCTTCCATGAGTGTCGACAGTTGATCCAAGAAGAATGAAGTCCTTGACAACTTCAATTTTTTCTCCGTTGATAAGAATATTGTTTATTGGTCCAAGTGGTGAGGAGTTTTTAGATCATATGTATTTTTAAGATAAAATAGCCCTGGTAGTGCAGTGGGCTAAGCATACGTTGCTCAAAGGCGGATGCTGGAACCTACTAGCCGTTCCACATGAGATAGATAAGCAATCAGTTTTCATAAAGATTTACAGTCTCAGAAATCCTAACAATCAATTTTCTCTGCCCTATAAGTCAGAACAGACATCATTGATGGCAGCAGGTTTAGTTTTTGGTTTTTGGCTAAGGTAAAAGCATTGTTAGGGATAAAAAAGGGTTACTGAATAATGACAAAATGAACAATTCAGCAGGAAAACATAAAAAATCGGAATCTTCTGTACCTAACAACATAAACAAAATAAAAATTGGTAGAATTATAAGAAAAAAAAAAGTCAAATTCACAAAGAGGGAGTTTTTTGTTTTGTTTTTAAACTACCTATCTGGTAGTAATTTATCAAACAAACCAAAAATTAGTAAGGATACTGAAGATATGAGACACCAAATTAATAGAAAAAATATCTAAGTATGGAATGGACATAATTATAATCAACAATTAATATTCTTTTCAGACATATAAGAAACATTTATAAATGATTTACACGGTAAGTTACAAAGAAAGTGCAACAAATTTCAAAGAACTGATTTAATGACGGTACTGTAAACCAGAATCTATCACATAAAATAGGGCTCCATCCTATGTTTGGAAACTGAAAAACACTAATTTTCAACTAATTCTTCAATCAAAGACAAAAAAGTACCTATATTTATAGCTGAATGACCACAAAAGTGTTGAGTTGCCAATACCAGCATTTGTGATTCAGCTAAAGCAAGACTACAGTTTTAAATGCACTGTAGTTTTTAAAGTCTACAGTTTTAAATGATTCAGCTAAAACAAGTCTACAGTATTAAATGTAATATGTTTGAAAACAAGAAAGACACTTAAAGTGGCTAACCCAGGAAGGTAGAAAAAAGAGCAAACCCTATGAAAATAAAAAGAAATAGACAAGACCAGAAGTCAATGAAATACAAAATACCTAGTGATACTACAATATCTTCATATAAGTCAGTGTTTGTTCCTCTAAATGCTAGATGAAAAGATGAAATATTTTATAATCCAATGTAAATAATGACATTAAAAAACTTATCAGATATTGACCAGCTACTCTGAGTCAGTTAATCCTCAAAACAACTCAATGAAGAAAGTAGTATTACTACTCCCATTTTAAAAATGAAGAAACATGATACATGGTCAGAGACACACACTGAATAGGTATGGAAGGAAGATTTAAAGCCTCAGAAACCCTTCATAGGCTCGCTATGAGTCGGAACCCACTTGACGGAACTTAGTAACAACAACAGAAACATAAATCTTTGAAAGATATGGGTTAATGGGTACTTTATCTTTTCTGCAAACACAACTATGAATGTGGTGGAACATAAAGTAAGCAAAATGATGAAAACTTTTTAGATCTTCTCAAACATCTTAAAGCAATGAGCAGCTGGGCCTGGGGACTCAGGATAATAGTCTCAGGGGACACCAGGCTCAACTGGCATAACACAGTCCACAAAGACAATGTTCTACGTCCTATCTTGATGAGTAGCATCTGGGATACTACAAGCTCATGAGCTTTTTAAAAGATGCAGTTATTGATGTCTTCATATGCAGAAGAAATATGAGTGATGAGAATTGAAGATGCTTGGAATCAATTAGTCCAATGGACTAATGGAACATGTGAATATCAGTCTTCATGACTCTGAGAGCAAAGAACTAGATGGTGCCAAGCTATGACTACCACCTGCTCTGAAAGGGATTACACTAGAAGGTCCCGGACCAAGCATCAAAATATGTGGAACGAAACTCAAAATTATTAAGGAAAAACAACACACCAGGCTTACTGGTTAGAAAGAGACTGGAGGAAGCTGAGATTGCGGCCCTCACCCTCATGGTCCGACTTTCAGTCAAGTAGTAGATACGGATACAGGGGAAACAACAAACACTAAGACAGGCTCACGATGCATGATGACATGGTAAATCATTCAAAATCAAAGGGGCAACATGAACCTAAGGACAAAATTGAGAAGGAACTGGAAGGTGGGTGCCATGGAAACAGGACCCACAGGGAGGAAGCAGGATAGCTGCTGTTCCATTGCAATCGCTGAGATGAAACAAAGTATATTGTTTGTTGAATGTAAAACCAACGATCTCATCTGTACACCTTTACTCAATTCACAATAAAAAGCTTCAAAAAAAGAAAAAGAAAAAGAAACAGCGGCAGCGCGGCGGCCATGGTAATAGACTCACTCTGAGTTCCACAGTTTGTAAGTGGTGGAGCAATAATTTGCATATAGTTTTGTGGACCCCAAAGTCCATGCTCTCTTACTCAGCTTCAATGCTTTCTTTTTCAAGTTTTAATTTTGATATAATTGTAACTTTACATGGATTGTAAGAAATAATACAGAGCAGAGAGATTCCATATAAACTTCAGCCAACTTTCCATAGTGGTAACATTTTGTATGTTGTAGTTGGCTGCCATCACA